AGGCCATGGAAGACCTCAAAAAGCATTTTAAAAATCAAATAAGAAAGGTAGAGGAACAACTGGGAAAAAAAATGAGAGTGATATAAAAAAATCATGAAAAAAGAGTCAACAGCTTAGTAAAGGAAGCACAAAAAAAAAAAAAATCCAAAGAAAATAATACCTTAAAAATAGGCCAAATGGCAACAGAGACACAAAAATCCAATGAAGAGAAGAATGCCTTGAAAAGTAAAACTGGCCAAATGGAAAAAGAATTACAAAAATTCACTGAAGAGAATAAGCCCTCTTTTCTAAAAGCTAATTTGATGTCAACTGCTTGATTGATATTGGAAAGTATATTGGATGAAGACTCATAAGTAACTGTTTGAAAAGCCATGGCCTTACCCATTCTCCCCTCTGGGAATCTAACCTACTCTGTAGTGCAAGCTAAACAAGAGGCCCCAAAGGAAATAAATAAGGATGGTGTATTATGCTAAAGTTCTATTGCTTAATGAGACTAAACTAATCTTAAAATTATATTCACCTAATAATTTCTGTAGAAAATTCTGTAGAAAAACTTACAAAGAATTCCAGGAAGGAATAGATTTTTAAAACCAATAATAGTGAGAAATTTTAATATACCACTCTAAGAATATGACAAATTCAATGAATAGATATGTAAGAAATAAATTATTAAATAGAGTAGTAAACAAATTGAGCTAAGAGATATGTGGAGAGAATTCAATGTGAAAAACAGAAAATACATTTTAGTGTTCATGGAACATATCAAATGTAGAAAAGCAGCATTTGAATATGATATATATGAGCACCATAATGAAATAGCACTTTAACATTGTTTAATCCCCTACTGTCCTTCAAAGCTAAAGAAGTGTCTGGATATTTATTGGTCAAGTGAATAAAACTTTGTCTTTGGAATTAGAAGGTTATTTTTCACCTCTGAATGTGTCAGTTTGGTCCCTGGGCCTTAGTTTCTCTACATAAGGCATGGAAAATATGTATTGATAACTTCTACCTACCTTGTTGGAGATGGTAAGAGGTAATAGCTATAAAAGTATTTTGAGATACCACGATTCCAGAGAACTAATTTTAAAGCAAGTTACTCATTTCCTGACAGAGAAGGATTGACTCAAGATGCATGGTATGATATACATCTTCAGACATGACCAATGTGGGAATTTGTTTTCCTTGACTTTACATATTTCTTACAAGGGTCTTTCACTGTTGTCTTCCTTTATATTATTGTGTAGATTGTTCTCTGGTTCTACTTAGTTCTCTTTGCATACAAGTTCATATAAACCTTTCCAGGTTTCCCTCAATTTTTCATATTCTTCATTTCTTAAAACACAATACCATCCCATTCCATTCACATGCCAAAATTTGTTCATCCACTCCCCAATTGGTGGGTGCCCATTTTTTTTTGTAAGAGGGAAGGTTGTAAGCCAGCAATTAAAGTCATTGGGGAAAGCAGGAAAGAGTCCTTGAAGTCTATAAATGATAGCCATGAGCCTGGGGAGAAAGTGGTATTAACTCACATGAACTTCAAAATAGGAGAGTTTGTGGAATGATCAAGGGAAGATCATGGCCTGGAAGCAGTAGTGAGGTATTGTACAGCCTGGAGTGTGTTAACTTTTCTTCCTCTTCTATGAGTGGGGAAGGGGTGATAGTAATGAATGTGGTAGAAGAAGAAGACTCCAGTAGAAATAAGTTTATGAGTATAGTGGCATGATCCAAAGAAAATGAGATTTCAGGTAAGGCGAGGTGATAGAAGCAGTACTTCCGGTAAAAGCGGAGGACAGAAGGAATTGGTTTATGGTGGATTTAGGAACCACCCATAATCATCCCAGAACAGAAGTTTTTAACTTGAGGTCTATGAACTTGGGTTTTTTGTTGTTTTTTTTTTTAATATTTTGATGACTATATTTCAGTATAATTGAGTTCCTTTGTAATCTTGTATATTTGTTTTATGCATTTAAAAAACATTATTCAAAGAAGGGATCCATAGGTTTCCCCAGATTTCCAAGGGGATCTATAACACACAAAAAGATCAAGAACCCCTGACCTAGAAACAAGCAGCAGCTTGGTGCCATTTTGGTCACAGGATCAAAGTATTCACTAGGAGAGAGGGGGAACAGCAGCCACCTTTTGGTTGGAAATGTCACTTCATCTTTCTGGGTCTCCATTTCCCCATCTGTAAAATGAAAAGGTGGGATTAGGTGGCCTTTGAGTTCCCTTCCTGACCCTGTGATCCTTGCTACTGCCCTGGCTGGAATGAATGGCTACCAAGAAACTCACATTTACAGAGTACTTCCCAGCTTTACAAAATGCTTTCCTCCAAACAACTCTGAGAGGTGGGAGTCACCATCCCAGCAACACTGTCTTTATTCTGTGGATGAAGAAACTGTGAAGCCCAGATAATAACACCTTCCATTCCTACAGTGCTCCAGGATTCACAAGAGGCTTTTCACACAACGGGTCATATAAGATTAGATAGTGAAAAGTATCATCACCATCTTAGGGATGAGGAAGCAGTTCAATGGGACACACTTATTACATGCCTGTCCTCAAAGAGTTGACATGCTACTAGAGTTACTTACTCTGTGGTCTAAATGACTTGCCCATATTCACTTGGATACTTTTAATGGATCTGCAATCTCAGATAGATAGGTGGTGCAGTGGTTAGAGTGCTGACTTAGAGTCAGGAAGGCCCCAGTTCAAATCCTGCATCAGACACTGTGTGACACTGGGCAAATCACTTAACTTCTATTTGCCTCAGTTTCTTCAACTGTAAAATGAGGATAATAATAAAACTACCTGCCTCCCAGGGTTATTGTGAGTTTTAAATGAGATAATATTTGTAAAGCACTTAGTATGGTGCCTGGTACATAGTAGGTGCTTAATAAATACTTGTGTCCTTTCTTCCTTCATCCACAAGGGTACACTGAACCCTTCAGCAAAGAAGATAGCAACCCATCCAGTCTCATCCTCTGTTACTCTTGTTTATGTCTTCTTGGAAATCCTCCATGAGGGTTCACCTGCATATTTGGGGGCCTTTTCTCCCAGCTATTAAGTCAGACACAAGATAAGATAGACACAGGAATACAGGGCCAGCTCCAGAACTCTCATTTCTTACCACCTTGTTTCTCATGTCCCATTTGCTGTATCCCCCGCCGGAAGTAGACATTTTCAGCACAGGCACCCCTGCTGTTAGAATGGGAACACAGAGCCCTGCTCTTCTAGGTCAGCAGCCCTGTCCTATTTCTGCACATTTGGTGTGCTGACTAATGGCTTGTCCATTGGTGCCAGTTTCCCGTACTGAAGCAAGGGGAAAGTGAGAAGTCTGGATTGGCACCTTATTTTGGGAGCTGTCGTCAAAGGCCTAGCTCTTGGGTTTTGCAAGCCTGGCATTCATCAGCAGCTATTACTACCAGCCTGGACAGCCAGTCTCTGCCTGAGCTTGGCTGGGGAACCAAGCGGTTTTAATCCCTAGCTACAATGTTCCATACACAGCAAGCCAATGGATGCATTGCTCAACTTTTTTGTGCCTTGACTCACCTCTGTTAAATAGGGATTTTACACACACACACACACACACACACACAAATAAATTATATCTGTATACATAAAAATATATATATATTTTGTTATATAGTATACATTATTATATATTACATAATATGTTGTATATATTTGTTATATTTTAATATATGTATATATATACATACAAATATATTACATAATTTATATCATTCTATGTTATATAATTATATCTTCTCATTGTTCAGTCATTTTTCCATCATGTCCAACTCCATGTAACCTCCTTTGGGGTTTTCTTGGCAAAGATATTGGAGAGGTTTGCCATTTCCTTCTCCAGCTTGTTTTACAGATGAGGAGACTGAGGCAAGTAAAGGTAAGTGACTTGCCCAGGGTTACACAACTAGTGTGACTGGGCCAAATTTGAACTTAGGGAGATGAGTCTTCCCAACTCCAGGCCTGGAGTTCTATCTACTGTGCCACTTAGTTGCCCTTATTATGTTATATATTATATACAAATATTATATATGTATATGTATAATACATAACAAATGTATGTGTGTAGTATATATAATACTATATATACTATATTATATTTTATAATATGTAATAGAAAGTAACTATATAATATGTAATACTATATTATAATTTTATGTGTCCATATATGTATGCATGTATATTATATATATATAAACATAAAAATATATAAGTGAGTGTGTGTGTGTGTGTGTGTGTGTGTGTGTGTGTGTGTGTGTGTGTGTGGTTCTGTTCTCTGGATATGAGCTAGATAGGTTAACCCACCACATTATATTTCCAATAGTAGGACTAGCCTTGTGCTGGCCTGCTCAGGCCCTCCTGGCACCGTGAGCATGAGTCTGTGGGAGGACTGTCTGAGAGACAGCATGAGACTAACAAAAGAGTATGGTTATCTAAAGAGAGATTGGTTCTAGTTCTGCTTTTTATATTAACTAGAGAGAGAAAGGAACAAACATTAAGCACCTACTATGTGCCAGGAGCTTTATAAATATTGTCTCATTTCATCTTCACAACACCTCTAGAAGGGAGCTGTATATGACAGTTGAGGAAATGGACAAAAAGAGGTTAAATGATTTGCCCAGGGTCACATAGCATCTGAGGCAGGATTTGAACTCAGATCTTCCTGACTCCAAATCCAGCATTCTAAGCCACTGTGCCATCTGGCTGCCTGCATTTTACATGTAAGGCAATTGAGGCAGACAGAGGCTAAATGACATATTCAGGATCACACAGCTAGTAAGTATTGAAGGCCAGATTTGAACCCAGGTCTTCCTGACTCCAGGCCATAACTCTATCCATTGAACCACTTAGGTGCCTCTAATGGGGACAGGTGATGATGATGACAACTATTACAATATGCTACCCATATAAGATGGCATTCTCTCTTCATCTGATCTGACAATTGGTTTTCTGGCTATTTTTCTCTAGCAGTGGGGATGATTCCCTTGGAGCCGTCCTTACTCTCTCACCTAGTCCCCTTTGTGTCCAATGACACAGATATTCAAAACAGCTGTTGAGAGCTAGAGAGTGTTCTGGCTAGATATGGAAATAGAGTAGAGTTAATTGTCCTATATAAGGATCAAACCCGTGACCTTGGCCTTATGAACACCATGTTCTGACCAACTGAGCTAACTAGCCACAGACAGACTTTAAAAATAGGTTTGTAGGAATTGTAACAGAGCATATCTGTATGACTAAATATTCTAGGCACACCATTAGGCAGGTGGCTCTTTGCTTCCAGCAGCAGCACACTCACTTAGATTTCCTTTGAGACTCACTCAGTAACCCTCAAAAGCCTGTGTTCCAAGTGGCTTTCCTGCCTTTACTTTCGTTTCCTCATTTCACCCCCTTAAAAATTAAATCCTAAAAAAAAATGCTTTTTACCTCCTTTTCAGTATTTAGTAGTATTATTCAATGCTTTAAAAGATCTTTGATTTCAATGGTGTGCTTAGTTCTTCCAATGGACACATCCATAAAATGGAAGAGATTAGAGGAGGTGGCCCAGGAAAGCAGCATAAAGAAGGTTAGATTTAGAGACAAAAGACCTAGGCTAAAATCCAGGCTCTGTCATTTATTAATGGGAAAGTAACTTTGGAAAGTCTCTTAATATCTCAGAGCCTCAGTATTCATCTATAAAATGAGGGGATTCAATTATGATTTCAATTTGCTGACCATCAAATATGCCTTTCTCTAGAGAGATCATAAGATATACATGTACAATTAGAAGGTCATTGAGTCCAATGGCCTTAGAAATCATTGAGTTCAATAGCTTCATTTTAGAAATGAGGAAACTGAAGCCCAGAGAGGTAAAGGGACTTACCCGCTATCACATGGCTAGTCAGTGTCTGAGGCAAGAAATAAACCCAGGTCTTCCTAACATTCAGTCCAGGCTCTATCTACCATACTGCACTGTCTTTGGCAGATATTCGTTCAGCAAGTATTTATTAAGCACCTACTATGTGGTAGGAGCTGGGCTTTGGCAGTGTTTTTTTTTTTAAAGATCATCTGCAGAACAATAAATGAAGGGACTGGACTGGATGAGCTCCAAGATCTTCCCAGCTCTAAACTCTTACTATGATGACCTCTAAAGGTGTCCTGCAGTTCTGACATTCAATGACTCTAAGTAAATGGTCCTTTGTTTATGTTAACTCCCTGTCTGCTGGAATTTCACCCACACAGAAAATAATTGTCCCCAAATCCAAAGCCTCTATTGAGAACATCATTGTTTCTCTTTCACTGACAAGCAGGAACTGCCCTAAGGGCAAGGGAAGCAGGCACATGGTCTGAGTGTCTGTCTCAGGCCAGGAGGTGCTGCTGGCTTCATTCCCTGGGGCCCTGGGTTTATGCTCTGCTGATGTACAATGACCGCATCCACAACTTGTACATTTGTGCAGCGGAACATAATAACATTTCCACAGGCTCTGCTTGCATCTTGGGTTTCTATGGCATCATTACTCTGAAAAGCTCAAAGTATTTCTAGGGCCATTTAGTTTGGTCAGTTTGAGTAAAGTTCTAAGAAGGCCGTTGTGACTGGGAGTTGATTCTACCTATTTATGTAAGCAAGTTTTCTTTGCACAGAAACACTGTCTCTTGGCTGCAGACTAATTCTAGAATGGTAGAGCTGGAAGATAATATCAACTCAATCCAATTCAACAAACATTTATGTAGGCCTAGTATGTTCAGAGTTACCCACTGACTCTTAACCCAGGGACCGTAGACCCCTTGGAGAACAGAAAACAATGGAGTTATTTCATTGGTTCCAGGAATCCATATGCTCACCAAGCATTGTCATTTTTGTCTTTATTAAACAAACATACTTCCTGTAGACTACAGAAGTGTCTCCCAAATTGCCATTTTTCAAATGCTCATCCAAGCATTGTCACTTTTTGTCTTTATTAAGCAAACATACCTTCTGTAGCCTAAAGAAAGAATGTTTTTGAAATTGCTATTTTTTTCAAATGTATGTAAGAAGTTGTTGGAATTAATGAAGTACAAATCAGCTTAAAAGCTTTTGTCATTCTATATTTTGTTTAGTATCTTTGACATTTTTTGGCATTAAAAAGCTCGCACAAAAAAACTGGGAACCACAGTGTTAGTCACTAGAGGATAGAAAAATTAGTTTAAAAAAAAAGAAAGAAAAGAAGGAAGAAAGAAAGGGAGGAAGGAAGGAAGAAAACACATCTCCCTGACTTCATTGTGCTTATAGTCTAATCAGGACTTACTACACATTCTCTAGAAATTTCAATACAAAATGGAATATGGTAGCTACAGATAAGAGATATAAACAAAATGCTATCTGTGGGCCAAAGAAGAGAAATTAATTTCCAACTAGAAGGATTAGGGAAGACTTGATAAACATGCCCAGAGTTTAGAGTGACAAACAAGAATGAGAAGTCTAAAGGCAAGCAGACAAATTTAACCTCATAGGTATCACTAAGACTTAATGGAATGAAACCAATGAATAGACCTAGATGGGTGGGCATACCTAATATAAAAAGAAATAGGATAAATAAACGGGGTGGAGGTAAGGTGAGGTGGCACTGTATATTTAGAAGGTATACTTCTATGAGCAAGTCTAGGAATCAGAGTGAGAAAGCATGATGGAGAATATTTAGGCAAAGGTCAACAAAGGGAGAGCATTTTATAATTAGTGCATACTACAGACCACCTGGGCAGCAAGAGGAAATGGTTAAGAGTTTGGGAAGCAAATCACAAACCTGGCACAGAGATAGGATATAGCAGTGATGGGAGAATTCAATTATCCCAACATCATCTGGAGCTTTCTCTCTGCCAAAAGCAGAGCAGCTAATCACTTCTTGACTTGCCTTAGTGATGATTTCATCTTTCAAAAGGTGAAGAAACTCACAAGAGGGAAACTCTATTCTGGGTCTGATTCCCACTAACAGAGAAGAACTGGTTGCTAGGGTAGAAATGATGGGAAATCGTGGATCACAGATTTTGGAAAAGTAGATTTCAAAGGATTCAGAAGAAAGATGAGTAGGATCTCATGGGCTAAAATACCATAGGGGAAGTCTGCACAGGAGGGATGGGAGATGCTCAGGAATGAAATTCTGAAGACACAAAGGGAAATTATTCTGGTGAAGAGGAAAAATGAAATTTGTCCAAAGAGATTAATGTAGATGCACAAGGAACTAACTCAACAACCAACTTAAATTTTAAGGAAGAAATGTATAGAAGATGGAAGAAGCAAGACCAGTTAGCAGCCTCCAAAGCGATTTTCTTAAAGTGCAGGTCTGACTATGTCACCCCTCTATTCAATAAACTCCAGTGGTCCCCTATCACCTCCAGGATCAAATTAGAAAATCCTCTGTTTGGCATTTAAAACCATTAATAACCCAGCCTCCTCCCATCTTTCCAGACTTCTTACATCTTAACCTCCCTTCCCCATCACTTTTCAAACCAGTGATACTGGCCTCCTTGATGTTCCTGGAATAAAATGCTCCATCTCCTGATTCCAGGCATTTTTACTGGCTTTCTCTCATGCTCTCCCTCTTCCTCTCTGTCTTCTGGATTCCCTGACTTCCTTTAAGTTCCAGCTAAAATCTGCAGAAAACCTTCCCCTGTCTCTCTTAATTCTGCCTTGTCTCTGTTGGCTGTTTCCTATTTATCCTTGATTGCACGTAATTATTTTCATGTTGTCTCCCCCATTAGATTGTGAGCTCCTTGAAGGCTGAGACTATCTTTTGCTTTCTTTGTATCCCCAGTGATTAGTCTGGTGGCTGGCACATAGTAGGTGCTTAATAAATGTTTATTGACTAACTGATGATGATAACTGACATTTATGTAGCTCTATAAGGTTTGCAAAATATATTACATGTATCTTCTTATTTGATCCTCACCACGACCCTGTGAAGTAGATACTATTATTATCCTTATTTTACAGATAAGGAAACCAGGTTTAGAGAAGTTAAGTGACTTTTTTCATACTCATCCAACTGGGAAATATCAGAAGTGTGATTGGAACCCCAGGTCTCTCTTGAATCCAAATTCAATATTCTATCCACTACTTCATGTACCTCTTAATTGACAACTTCCTGGTGATGAGGAAGCTTGAGGGCAGGGACTGGTTTTACTTTTTCTTTTTATATCCAACATTTAGCACAGTGCCAAGAGCAAAATAAGCACTTAATAAATGCTTATTGATTGATTCACATGGAGCTCTCTGGATTTATCTCGATCCTTAGATAGTGGTCTATTACAGAACCTACATTTCTAAGTTGTTGTAGCTTCCTTCAGTTGATTATTTCCTATTTATCCTGTACATAGCTTGCTTGTACATAGTTGTTTGCACATTCTCTCCCCTATTAGATTGTAAGCTCTTTGAGGTCAGGGACTATCTTTACTTTCTTTGTATTCCCAATACGTCTTGCCAGAGCCCAAGCTCATCTTTTCATCTCACTGAGGCATTAGTAGAGAGCTCTTAGGATAAGTACTAGGATAGAGAAAATAAACAATAAAAATTAGGTTAATAATACCTATGAGGAAACTTTAAAAAGAGAAGCTAGACAGATAACAGGATTCATTTTTATATAGAAGGTGGTCAAAGATAGTGTGATCCATTATTCTCTGTCTTATGAAAATAAAAAGAAAATGCCATATACTGTGCGATCACACACTACCCAGTTGTTTCATAAAGGCTTTAGATGAGATTGAAAGAAGATTTTCTAGTAGTAAGGTAGTAAATCAAACAAGATTAATGAATGTGAGAAACAGAATATTCTCTTCTGCAGTTTGAAGAATTGAGAGTGTCTAACCTGGGGAAGAGAAGGCTTAGAGGACATATGTATGATACCTGTTCTTAAGCATCTAAAGGGATATAAAGTGAAAAAGAGCTTAAACTGTTCTGCTTGGTCCCAGAAGGCAAAACTAGGACCTGATGGGGCAAGTTTCAGAAGCATAATTCTGCTTTATGTAAGCAAAAAACTTCTTGACAACTCAAGATATCCAAAAGTGAAATGGACTGTATCAAGAGTCTTCATTATCACTGGAGATGACAGACCATGATGGATGATGGAGGGATGATGATGACAGCAATAACAATATGTTACCCCTATAAGGTGGCACTCACTCCTGACTTGATATATCAGACATGAGCTTTGAGTTGCTGGCCATGTTGGGTTTCTGGCCTTTTGTCCCAGCATTAAGGAAGATTTACATGGAGCCATTCTTATTCTCTCAACTACTCCCTTCTGTTCTAATGGCACATATTTTCAAGACAGCTGAGAACAGCTAGGGCATATTCTGGATGAATGTGTAAATAAATGTAATTGTCCTCCTTCCTGGAGGTCATTAAGGAGTAATAAGAATAAGCTCTAACGTTTATATAGCACTTGAAGGTTTCCCAAGAGCTTTACATAAATTATCATCTTTAAACTTTACAACAACTCTGTGAGGTAGGTGCTATTACTCTTCTTTCTGACAGATGAGGAAAATGAGACTTAGAGAAGTGAAACTACTTGCCCAAGACCACACAACTAATAAATATTAAAGGTGAAATGTCAGCCCTGGTATTCCCAATTCTAAATCTCTGTCTATTGAGTTGATTGGGGAAGTTGCAGATGTGATTCCTATTCATATATGGATCGGACTAGATCTCCTCTGAGGTCTCTTCTAATTATGAGATCCTATGACATGTTGAGGACTGAACTTGATTTATTATATATTCTGATCTTCGGGAAATGAACCAAGAGGCTGCCAATGCATCAGATAGCCCACATTTCCTGAGTGCTTGTGCTCACATAATATTGTGTCTAAACACTGTGAGGGCAGAGATGATAAAGGAAGCACAGTCTCCTTCAGGAAGATTAGATTCTAGCTGGAAAGACAGAGTACAAGGCAGACTTAAGAAGTACGAAGTAGCGTATCAACAAGAGCAAATCATTGTGGCATAGCAAAATCAGGAGAGAAATATACACGATGAATATAATAATAATGTAAATGAAAAACACCAAAACGCTAAAAAGAAGTCAGACTCTAAGTAATTATGATGACTGATGAATGTCCTAGAGAATAAGTTATAAAGCATATTTTCCTCCTCTTGTCAGAGCAGTGAAAGACTATGGAGGCAGAATGCGACATACTGTCAAACATGGTCACTGTATCATTGGGTGTTTAAAAAGTTTTTCTTTAAAAAGGGAAAAGGAAAAAAATAAAATAAAATAAAATTTTTAAAAAGAGAAAAAGACCTTTTGTACAAAATTTTTTATAACAGCTATTTTTGTGGTGGCAAAGAATTAGAAATTGAGGTGATGCCCATCAGTGGTATACATTTGTGAAGGAGTCCTATTGTGCTATAAGAAATGATAAGGGGCAGCTAGGTGTACAGCAGATAGAGCACCGGCCCTGGAGTCAGGAAGACCTGAGTTCAAATCCGGCCTCAGACACGTAACACTTCCTAGCTGTGTGACTGTGGGTTAAGTCACTTAACCCCATTGCCTAGCCAAAAAAACAAAAAACAAAAAAACGAAACAAAGAAATGATGAGCAAGATGGTTTCAGAAAAAACCTGGGAAGATTTATATGAACTGATGCAAAGTGAAGTAAGCAGAAACAAGAGAACATTGTACACAGTAACAACTTAGTAATGATATCAATTGTGAAAAAATTAGCTATTCTTATCAAAACAATGATACAAGACAATTCCAAAGGACTCGTGATGAAAGTTGTCATCCACCTCTGGAAATACGTTTTGCATGATTTCACATGTATAATCAATATCATATTGCTTGCCTTCTGAAAGGATAAGGGAGGAGTGGAAGAGCAGGAGGGAATTTGAACTCAAACTTTAAAAAAAAAGAATGTTAAAAAAATTCCTACATATAATTGGGAACTATTTAATGAAATAAATAAAAATTTTAAAGAGTTTCTTTATTACAAAGGAAGGTTCAATCCTGGAGAGTAATATGTATATATACATACATAGGTGTATAAATAATTATGATGCAAAAGACATCAATAAAATTTATTTAGAAAAATATTAGTATATTTTAATATAACATATATAAATATATTGATAATGAAATATTACAAAATATTACTATATTACAAAATTACTATAAATAATAATAGTCTACTAGTGCTGAAGAGTTGCAGAAAAGAGAGAATGCAGAATTTAGGATTAGTCAGAGAAGAAATTCAAGTGACAGTTAATTTATCAAGTCTCCTCCAAACCATCTGCAGATAAAGTCCCTTTGGCTAAGTTCATTTGACATTTAAACAATGATTCCAGCCAGCCTTAAAACAATGTCAAACACCACAAACAAAAAGCAAAGCCCCATCCATGCTCCTTGTAGCCAACACAGGAAAAGATGGATTTCCTTACACTCTTCAAATCTCTTCTCTGTTTGACTTTAAGCTTAAACCTTCCATAGCACATCCTTAGCAAGAAGGATGTGTGATGGCAGCATCCCCTTTTATGGCTGCTGTGGGCAGCTGAGGATCCTTCTCTTTGCACAGGGAACTGAACCGACTGCAGTTAGGGCTCCCATTAGTTGTGGCTTCAAGTCTATTACCCAGAGGGAGCAGAGTGGAAGGTAAAACCCCTTATGGCGGGTTCAATTCCAAACCAAGCTCGAAGGGGAAGAAATGTAAGGGGGAAGCACTCAAAAAATTGGATTGGAGTTAGAAGGGACTAGGGAGAACACTGAAGCCTCTCTGAGCTCCGGCCCCGCAACTGGCAACATGGCTAAACGTACCAAGAAGGTCGGAATTGTTGGTAAATATGGAACACGTTATGGTGCATCCCTCAGAAAAATGGTGAAGAAAATTGAAATTAGCCAGCATGCCAAGTATACCTGCTCCTTCTGTGGCAAGACTAAAATGAAGAGACGGGCTATGGGTATCTGGCATTGTGGCTCCTGTATGAAGACAGTAGCTGGTGGTGCATGGACCTACAATACCACCTCTGCAGTCACAGTCAAATCTGACATCAGAAGACTGAAGGGCTTGAAAGACCAGTAAAATCTTCTTATCAAATATCAGTAGCCCATAGTCCAACAATAAATGGGTTAATTTATGGAATAAAAAAAAAGAAAAAGAACACTGAACTTGGGCCAGGAGACCTAACTACTTACTTTAAAAAAAAAAAATCATTCAAGTTACCCTGACCAATGCACCCGTGTATCTTACTCCTTTATTAATCTCACAAATTCTTAACATCTTACATTCGGAAGGTACCTCAAAGGCCATCATTCCTGACTTAGTCCACTGTTATTTCCTCTATACTGAGCTACCTTTAAGAAAACACTGTAAGGGGCAGCTAGGCGGCACAGTGGATAGAGTACAGGACCTGAGTTCAAATCCAGCCTCGGACCAAACACTTGACACTAGTTGTGTGACCCTGGTCAAGTCACTTAACCCCAATTGCCTAAAAATAAAAAAAAAAATACATTAAAAAAAAGAAAACACTGCGGTCTCTTGGTCTCCCACCTTGGTCTCCATCTTCTCCCCACTTGAATTCACCTTCCATATAACTGTTAAGTTAATACTGTTAAAACAAATGTCTAACCCAATGACTTTCCTGCTAAGGAAGCTTTAGTGACTTCCTAGGAATTGTTCTAAGCACTGAGGCTACAAATAAGAAAGATAGTTCCTGCCCCTAAGGAGTTTACATTCTAATGGGGAGAAACAACTCACAAAAGAAAGCTGAAAGGGGGAGATTGGGAAAGTATGATTATGGTGGGGTTAAAATGAAAGTGCAACTGGTAGGAAATAAGTGGGCTGTGAGCCCTTGGAGCCTTCTTTAAATGGAGGCTTTGGGAGGATTTCTTTTGCATTGCTCTTTAGCCCTCCAATCAGAGGGCTGAGGCAACTGAGAATAATGATGAGGTGGGAGTATCAAAACTGATGCAATCAAAATGATGAGTTTGCTGGTGATGAGCTCTTCCCCTCTCCACCAGAGCCCCCTCCCCTGTTTTGACACTTCTTTGCCTATCACTCAGCAAATGGACTAAACACCACTTGTCTTCTCTGCCTCACCTTCCCTCTCTTCCTCTCCCTCTCCTCTTCATGCCCATCAGCACTATAAGTAAGAAACCTTGGTATGTTCATCAAAATACAATGTCCTCTTTTTTTTACTCTGTTTTCCATCTTCATCCTAAACATAGCATCTAAGGGCAGGATAGAGAAAAGTATAATTGTGATCAGGGCTTTCCTGATGCTGTGGTGCCTTCTGTAATGGAGGTACCCAAAGGAGCCTGCTATCTTACATGTTGCCAAGTAGGCAATGGGTGTGAGTTTACCATGTTCCCAAGCAAACTTTGGCAAAAGGTCTCCTCTATCCCCCATACCCCATCTCGGGGAAGGAAGGGACTTTCTATTAAGGATCTCTCAGCAGAGGCAACTTGTGCAGGAGTGGCACCTATGTTTTTGGACCTTGGGTTGGGTGGAAAGGGGATGGAACCCGAGGCAATGAAGTTCTTCTTTCTGTGCAGTAGCAGCTAAAGGAGAAGCCGTTAAGAGACTAGTTCTTCTCTCTATGCCTGTAGAATTCGTTCTAGGCAGTTCCCCTCTGCTGGAGAGTGGAAAAGGACTTTATTTACAAACTTCCTCTCCCTAGGGGATCGGGCCCTTTGTTACTTTGATAGATTCCCGACACAGTACTCCTTCCTCTTGCTGGACTTTGGCCCATGATATGATGCATACTGCTTTTGCAGGCTTGTCAGGTTCAATTGTTTTTCAGCTGGAACAATCTTTTAACAAACAGAGCTGCTTAATTCATACCGAGTGTATGTTGGGGGTGGGGAGAAAATCAAACTTCAACACACTAAGTGAATAATGCCTTGTTTGCAGGTGTGGAGGGACAATGAGTGTGTATCACACAATATACTGTGAGATTTGAGTAATATATTGATTAGTTTTGCTGAAATATTTCCCGCCCCCTTTTAAAAAGTCTAGCTGTCTTTTAGGAGAAAGGATATATTGGAAAAGGAAGGTGAGATGAAACCAAAAGTTATCAATATGACTTTAATTAAAAAATAAAATCATGTGCTCAGAAAAACACTTGGAAAGGCTAGTTTGACCCAGGATAACATTTCTTATAGTATCAGCCTTTATATCTAAATTGTGTACCCATTTTGACTTTATCTTGGTATACAGTGTAAGATCTCGGTCTATGCCTAGTTTCTGCCATACTGTTTTCCAGTTTTCCTAGCAGTTTTTGTCAAATAGTGAGTTCTTATACCAGAAACTGGAGTCTTTAGGTTACTCAAACAGTGTATTACTATAGTCATTGACTACTGTGTCTTGTGTCTCTAACCTATTCCACTGATCCACCACTCTATTTCTTAGCCAGTATTAAGTAGTTTTGATGATTGCTGCTTTATGATACAGTTTAAGATCTGGTATGGCTAGGCCGCCTTCCCCTCGCATTTCTTTCCATTAATTCCCTTGATATTCTGGACCTTTTGTTCTTCCAGATGAATTTTGTTATTATTTTTTCTAGGTCTATAAAACCAGGATAACATTTCTGATATAGCTACCTTCTAATGAGCCTTAAACACATGAACACCTACATTTGAGTTGCAATATTTCCACAGCACCAGCCTAGCAAGATTCTGGGTGTAGAATCAAAGCCAATGGTAGTTCATTATAGAATCTAGGGGAGTGAGATTAAGGGTAATTCACACCCTTTTCTACCTTCTTCTTTGGCAAAGGGGAACGCAATCTGGTCTAGAGTAATCCTAGTAACTTCATTCCTATCTCTCAAGGACACTTTGAGATACAAGATTACTCTGGAACTACCTTGTCAGTCCTAAAATTGGACTATCAAGAATAGGAATCACAGAATTTCAGGTTTGGCAGATACCCACCCCAGCATGTGCTTGAACAGGAATCCTCTTTATATTGCCAACAAATGGTCATCCAGCTTCTACTCCAAAGATTTCCATTGAAGGGGAAATTACCATGTCCTAAGGCAGCTTTTTCTATTTTTGGATTGTTCTAAATATTAGGAAGTTTTTAGTATCCTTTTAAATTTCAACTTTTGTTAATGTTTTAATATTATAAACATTTATAGGTTACTATCACTTCAAGAGAGATCTTCTGTAATAAAGTAAAACAGTTAAGCAAAACTATAATACACTGACCTCATCTGAAAGTGTATGTAATACTTCATAACTGGAGTAACCCTCACCTTAATTTTTTTAATTAACAGAAATCTATTTTCTCTCTTTCTCATCTCCAACCCCATAAAAAAAAAAAGACAAAAAAAGTAAATTTCTTGTGTTATACTTGCGCAGGCAAGCAAAACAAACCCCCTCAATGGCTATACAAAAATATATGTCTCATTCCACACCCTAAATCCATTATGTCTCTGTAAGGAATAGCATGTTTCATCCTCATTTCTCTAGAAGAGAGGTGTCAAATGTGCCTACATGTGGCCCACAATACTCCCCTACAGCTAGAACAAGATTAAAAGGTAATTGGGAAGTAGTTAACAAAATAAATAAAAATACAATAAAACATACATAATGTTAACATGTGGTTTTCTAAGTCAATATGTGCCCACAGGCATCCTTTTTGTATAGTTTAATGGCCCTGTTTCTATTTGAGTTGACACCGCTGCTCTAGAATCATGAATGGTCATTGTTCTAATCATAATTCTTACAGCTCTCAAAGTTTGTTTTTACAGTATTGTGGTCATTGCATGACTTGTTCTCCTGATTCTTTCCTGCTCATTGTATTTTCATCACTTTATAAAAGTCCTTCAAAACTGTTCATTTTTATAGTATTGATGTTATAGTATTAATTCTGGAGAAGGAAATGGCAAACCACTCCAGTATCTTGGAGAAGAAAACCCCAAATGGGGTCACAAAGAATTAGGCACAGCTGAAAATACAACAACAAAAGTATTCATTATTCTTCTGGTCCTACTCACTTTACTCTGAATCAGTTCATGTCTTTCCATGTCTTTTTGAAATCATCTATTATCTAAATTTCTTGTAGCACAATAATACCCTATCTCATCCATAAGCTACAACTTATTCAGCCATTCTTCAATCATTGTACGTTCTCTTAGTTTCCAGATTTTTGCCACCTTGAGCTGCCACACATATTGTTGTACATAAAGATTCTTTTCTTCTGTCTCTTTTTTTTTTCCCCTTTGGGGGTATAGGCCTAGTGGTGCTACAACTAGATCAAAGGACACACATTGTTTGATAATTTTTTTGTGTTTAATTCCAAATCGTTTCCAGCATGGTTGTACCCATTCTAAGGTCCACCAACAGGGATGCATCAGTATGCCTGTTTTTCCACAGCCCCTCCAACATTGATCATTTTCCGTTTTTCTCATCTTTGTCACTTTGATGAATATGAAGTAGAATCTTAGAAATGTTTTAATTTTCATTATGAATTTGTTCTTAACATTAAGCCTCAATCTATTTTTCTATAGCTTCCACTCAGGACTCCTGGTTCTGCCCATGGGCTGTAGTAGAACACTCCTAATGTCTTTTCTTTATGACAGTTCTGTGAATCCTTAAACACAACTTATATAGCCACCCTCTACTAATCCCCAGCAAGCTGACTCTTTTCTATGCCAAACGTCTTTTATTTCTTTGACTAATCCTCCCAGTCTTCCATCACCTTACCATTACTCCAACTTGCCAATGGCCTTTCAAAAATGTAGTGCCTATGCCGTCTTGGGGAGGGAGGCGGATAAGGGAGAGGGAAAAAATTTAGAACACAAAAGCTTATGGAAGTGAATGTTGAAAACTAAAAATAAATTAATATTAAAAAAAGAATAGAAAAAAATGTAGTATCTAGAACTAAATACAATATCTCACAAGTGATCTGACCAGAGCATTGGAAAGTGGGGCTATCACCTCCTAAATCCTAGGGACTGACTTTCTTAGTGTAGCCACACTTTACTTCTTTCTGCTGCCGTATTGCCCTGTTGCTTCATAATCAGCTTTCAGTCTCCTAAAATGTCCATCTCTTTTCCACATGACCTATTATATTGTTAT